ATAGAATCTACATGTATAAAGTATGTGAAGACAAATTTAATGATATATTTGCAGTTGCTATACTCTGAAAATTGTAAAAATACTGCTGAAAGAAATTAATGAGTTGAATAAATGAAGTGGTTCGACAGGTTCATGACCCAGAGGTCTCAACTCTCGGGATGGCAGTTCTTTCCAGAATGATCTAGTCAACACGGTCCCATCCACGAGTTATGAGAGATGCTGACACTAGAGAAGAGCTGCAGATCGTGGGAACGCACACACTCTGCTGAGATGTCTGCCCACGGTGACTATCAACCCTAGCTGTTAGACGGCCTCTGTCATCTGACCATGTCACTGATCCACTAGGGTGCATGCATGTGGACCTCATGCTTCCTCGGGCAAGCACCCAGCTCTGACATGCACAGGAGATCACAATCAGGCCACCAAAGTGTACAGCTGTGCAAGAGAGTGTAGTCCAGGAAAAGGAATCATAAAATCAAACAGAAACATCCGAAATTCAAAATTAGATAAGAAAGGTTTAAACAAATCTGTCACGACCAAGATCAAACCATTTCTCCCAAGTCACTCAGCCCTGCCTTGAGTTTGCCACATCCTAAAGCCCATGAAATGCTTGACTGTGGACCAAGAATATCGACGGCCCCATCATGGGAACAGGCAGTGTCCCCAAGCCAAGACCCTCAAGTGCCCAGTGGCCACAACAGTGATGCTCAGCATGAGCTGAGCTCTACCAAGAAGCCAAATGTCTACAGGGGAGAGTGGGGGTTAGGGAGGGTGTACAGAAAAGCCTATTCACCAACATCCATCCACATGTAGAACAAAAGATCCTCTGGGAAATAGAATCAGCAACCAGCATGCCGAAGGTTTAAATCGTTTAATTTAAATCATTCTTGATCACTCCAGGTCAATGGTCAGTTTTGAGGAAAAGAAAGAAAACAATTCCCTTTCCATAAATCTCATGGTACTCATCTCTCTGAAAGAGAGACTTTAAATCACTTTTATTTAAACTCTGAGGATTAGCACTGTACAGAAACCTCTTATTTATTACAAATGCTTTTACATTGTAGAAATACAAACAAGATTTTTTAATTTTAAAAAATAAATAAATTCCTTTTAAAAATAACAAAACACAAACTTTTTAAGTCAATGTGCTCAGTTAATAAAACCCACACGGCAGAAGCCCCTGGCTTTGAGTGGATGACATGGCAGTGTCCACAGTGACAGCACTTGGAAGGCTGAGGCAGGAGGCGAACTAGGGTCTAGAGTTCAAGGTCAGCTGGGCAACACAGCAAAATGGGCGACAGGAGGGAGGGAAGAGGAAGGAAACACCTGGGCCAAGCTGCACAGAGTCACCAAGGTGCCAGCTCCTCAGGATGCCACAGGCCCAGGGGACTCTCTCAGCCCAGCTGAGTTGCAGCTGCTGTCGCAGCCCCAGGCCCGAGTTGCGCTCACTCCAGCACTCCAGGCTCGCTGTGACGTCCACAACGGGCTTTCTGCAAATGTCTGTGTCTAGCCCTAAAGAAGTACAGGAAAACGATTTTCACATCTGTAGAAAAGCACCTGTCGGCGCATGAGAGGGGGCCTCATTGAGCCTCGCTCTCCACACGGCACCTCAGCATCCACGGCTCCCTCCCCTCCTCCAAGCAGCTTCAAGGTCACAACTTCACGTCTCTGCCCACAGAATGGAAATCACACAAAATCTGAATTTATGGCACACTGACATAAAATCTATGAATTCACAGAAGTTAACAGAAGGGGGAAAAGAATGCTCACTTCAGAGAATCCAAGACCATTTTCTTTATCCTCAAGTGGAGCACCACTGCTGGATCAGATTCCAACCAACCTCACAAACAAGTTGATTACAAGGATTAAGCTCTAACTTCAAAGAAAACGGGACTTTTCTTCTCTTTTTTTTTTCCCTTGAATTTATTTAAAGAATTTCATCCAGGTGTAGAATCTGAAAATCTGAATCTGAAATGCCAGCCAAGGCTGGCAGTACTCCACCATCTCTGCATTCCAAGAAGGGAAAAGAGTAAGTAAATAACTCTGTTGATAGCAGACTGGTCCAGGCCAGTTTTAACTAGAAATTACCAACAAGCAGAGTGAACCTGTGTGTGCAAAGGGCTCAGTGGTGCATGCTCCTGGCTGTAGGGTCTGGGCCACATACACACTCTGCAAATGAAGGACTCGTGGCCTCCCAGGGGACAGCTGCTAAAGCAGCTCCAGAGGCCTCCTTACATCTCAAAGATCCCCATGGACCTGCCTTCATCTGTGAGATAACACACCCAGTTCTCAGTAAATCTAAACCACAAACAAGCGGTGGGCCCAAGGAATTATAGGTGTTTTTAACAGCATTTGACTTAAGACAAGCTAGCTGGGCGAGGTGGCACTTGCCCGTAATCCTAGCAGCTCCAGAGGCTGAGGCAGGAAGATCATGAGTTCAAAGCCAGCCTCAGCAACTGCGAGGCACTCAGCAACTCCGTGAGACTCTGTCTCTAAATAAAACACAAAATAGGGCTGGGATGTGGCTCAGTGGTTGACTGCTCCTGAGTTCAATCCCCAGTACCATAAATAAATAAAGAAAGAAGACAAGCTGATCTATATACTGCTTTCACTTTAAATATCTGAGGTCCGAAATAAACAATTCATAGAAGTACCTTATTACTCAAAGGTCAACCAATTTTTACCTGCTTTGGGAGACATTTCCACACTTTGCTGCCCACATCTTCGATGTAACTCCCATTTGATGAAACGTGTCTACGCATTAGTGACTTTCACTATGTCCTGGGATGGGGTTCTAACCTATCCTAAAGTCTCAGCGAGCCTGGACCTGGTCACCACCACACCTGCAGGACCCTGGATGTCACTTCCTGTCTTTGTTTTGCAGATGAATAAACCAGACCAAGAAGCAGCTGCACGGCTTGGCTGAGCATGTACGCAGGGTGACAGTGACACCCAGAGTCCTGCACACCTTGCCCAGTAAGATGGAGCTCCTAAACAAGGCGCTCAAAGCTGAGCCACAGCTGGCGCTCCTCCTTCTCTAAGCTCCTCCTCACATGGGGTCAACTCCCTCCCTAGCCCAGACAAGACCACCACCAAACACTGACGGTGGGATTCCAGTTACAGATCTGACACCACTCTCCCTGGCTCATGAGGTCAGCCCGCCCCAAACACAAGAGCAGGAGCAACGGAAGCCTGGGGCAGCCATCCTGGGAACAAACGCACAAGGCTCTCAGGGCAGGGGCTGCTGTACCCTTCTGTTTCACCCTAGAGCAATGAGCAGAGGTGACGAGATGCAGGCCGAGGTGGCAGCCACGGGAGAGACACCGCCATGATTTCCTGGCAAGAGCCAAGGAGGCTGAGATGCACTCCAGCACAGGGACAGTTGCCTGACGGAGCCTTCCCAAGCACCACCTGGGCACAGCACACACTTCTGACTCTGAACCCAGAGTCTTGGTCCATTCAACACAAAACATTTTACACAGTTTTAATATGACTTGAACTTTCCAGGAACTCAACTATAAGTCTAAAAAGAAAATCATCCTTTCCTTTAATTTGAAACTTCCTGCTCACCATTCTGCAATATTCTCCCACCAGCTGGTATCTGTAACGTCAGCATAGCCCCTGGGCCAATCTGCACTAAATGAGCACAAACAGCAGTGCACAGGGTCTCGTCATGGCTGACCATTTGGCACAAAATGTGTTTCTTTATATGATATACAACTGTCCTTTTATTCCACCTTCACATTACATTTAGGACAGTCTATTAATTTTTTATTTATAATTCTTACTTCCTACACATCACATTTTAGAATACAGGGGTATTCCAAAAATTGTACTAAAATGGTACTGGGTCCTTAGGTGTGCAAGCCTAAGAGAGACAGCGTGCCAGCAGCGTCTGTGAGGAGAAAACATGGTGAGCTCTGCCCCACCTACCTCAGAGAAACTCCAGCAATGATGCTCACCTCGCAGTTGGGACCTGAGAGGCCAAGATTCCTTCAGTGCCAGCTGCAGATCAGGGCCACCAGGCAGTGCAGCAAACATACCAGGGAGGCACGTGAATCCACAGCCCAGTAGGTGTCCTCAGAGCTGCCCCAAACACACCAGGACAGGTGAAGCCCTGACCTTCCTGAGCATCTCTGAGCATCCCCAGGCCCCTCCTCTCCCTTCCCACACTCCCTCAGAAGTCCACAGAGCACCTGATGTTGCTCTGGCCACCAGCACACAAGGGCAAGGTGGTATAGCAGCCACTGGACACACCATCATCAAGGCCACTACAGCCCTTCCAGGTCAGGTTCCCGCTGTCACCCATCAACACAGGGCAGGAGGCTGCTGTCTTTCCATGGACTCAAGAGAACAGCCCTAAGTAGGAGGATTCCAAGCCCTCACCAAATACAAAGACACAACTTGCCCACTGCCACAAACATGACTTCTTCTTAGCCAGCTGTGAGAAAGGGCAGCAATGCCAACAGGACTCATGGTCACTGATGCCCAGAGCCTGAATCTTAGCTCACCTCCTGGCACACTGCCTGGGCCTGCAGAATACAAGCAGGCGGAAGACCTGAGACATCTTTCCAATCCAACCAAGTTACCCACAGAGCTTCAACACAAACAGTGCACCAACTGCTTCACAGGTCTCTAAGATGAGGGTCTAAATATTTTCTAACAGGCACAATAAAAGCTACAGATTTGAATGGAAAGTTTATAAACATAAACTCTGTAGAAAAAAATATCTAAAAGACCAGTCAGATAGAGATAGAAATGTACGTCTGCAAAGATTTGCAAAGATTTGGTAGTTAGGTACACAGAAAAGATATATCAGCTTTATGTCAGAAAGAAAAGCTCCAGAAGGAGCCTGTATTTGGTTTTGGTCTAAGTGAAATCAGCAGCTAGGAACCACGGAGTCAGATACCCAGTATCTATGGCAGACGAAGTAACAACCGGAGCCCGGGCAAGGACCTGAGCGTTTTTCCCACAGTGGCCCGAAGCTCCTCTGTCCTTACCATCGCACTTTGTTGCAGGTCTGAGTGGCGCCAAGTGGAGAGCCCGCCACCATGGGGACCTGGATAGGGCTATGCTGTTTGTTGGTGACCAGATCCAGCTTCTCCTCCAACGATTTGCAAGTAGCTTCCAGGGCTTGCAGCTTGGCCTCAATACTATCCAACCGTAAGCATATTGTCTGGTTTATGGAGTACAGGAAAGACTGGAAGTGAAGAAGAGAAACTTTAGGAAGGATATCCTCAACTATGAGAAGGCAGCTCTAAGAACGCCAAACCGCTACTGCGGGATGGCCATGTTCCGGCAGACCACCCCTACAATGGGACTGGCTTTACAGGCACACTCCAGAAGCATGTAACAAGTGCAGTCTTCTGCACCAGAAACATGACTCCCTGATCATGGTGTTACTCCTTGTGCAGTTGCAATTCTCAGTTTGCACAAACCCATGTAATAAACAACTTATGGGGTCCTTAACATGTTACTGTATTACTCAGTAAGTTCACACAGAAAGCTAACAATGAAAACAGATTGCATCTAACATCCGGAAGGGCCCAAAACCACAAGCCCTGCATACCCATATCATGCCAGCTGCCCTGAAAAGATGACTGATGCCGTGTGCTCTGATGTGAGTCCAGTCGCCACCTTCCTGTGAAATTTTGGAACGGCAAGCCTGCCACCTGGTGGCCAGCACAAGCAGCACCACATGTCTTGAGACCAACGAGTCAGCACCACCTTGCATGGCTCCACACCCAGAAAGGCTAGAAACAGGACAGGCAGAAGGACTCTACTCTCCACCAGCCACCCTGCTAGGAGCCACCAGCAACAGAGATCTCCAAACTGGAGCTCAGGTGCTGGTTAGTGGCAGGGCCCCAGTGGTCAACACTGAAAATAGCGAAGAATGGGAAGAACATGGTCTCGTCTCTTTCCTCTCCTAGTCGGCCGTGACTGAAGGCTTGAGTGCCCAAGTGGACACACTGGAAGGGAGGAGATAGGCCAGGAAGCAGCAGTGGTTGCCTCCAGCACGTGGGTCCTGGAGGCACAGGTAGGTGGAAGGACCCACATGCTGGAGGCAATCACAGAATACCAAAAGTATAGCAGTAGCAGACATTGTGTCACACTCCTGATATCAAACCTGGGTGAAGAGAACCAACACTCTTGACAGAGCACCTTCGACAGGCTGAGCTGCTCTGAAGAGCATGTGCCTCTGCCTCCTGCCCAGGTGTGCAGGAAGTGAGGAGCTCCCGCCGTCCACACACCTCACTTCCACTCAGCCACGCTCCCTGCAAGACTCCACTCAAGAGTGCGCTGTGCAGGAGCTAGGCTGTGGCTGCAGTAGAGCTCTTGCCTAGCAAGGGTAAGGCCCTGGTGCAACCCCCAGTACTACCTAAAAAAGAGTGCACTGTGCAAAGGAAAAGGTCTAGAAACTGTTTAAATCCACACAATGCCAACTGCTCTCTACTGGAGCAGGCGCTAAAGCAGTATCCAAGAGGAAATAAGCCATGGGCATCAGGGTCCACCGGCAACACGCCATCACCAATGCAGAAGCAATGTCAGTGTGAGGGGAGACAGGCATCATCATGGGCACCAACTGTGGCTGAATCCTTGAGATAAAAGCAACCCCACTCTTTTTATAATTTGAAGACATCAAATATCTGCCTCCCATTCTTTCAACATAGTAAAGCCACATTTTTTTAATTCTAAATTATAAATAATTCTGCCTGGGGTTTTGGCAAAAATCACTGCGACACAGTAATAAAACTACTTACCAAAGAACAAAATGAAGAAAGAGCACGGAAGAGTATTTTTAAATATATCTCTTACATGGAAGCGATAGTGGCCATAAACAGCTCAAAACTTCTCATTAACAGCCCAGGGCCCTGGCTGGGCCAGCCTGGGCTTTTAGCAACACAGCAGCCTATGCGTGTGCAGCAGTGCCCAAGGACGACCCGGCCTCCTGCCTGTCCAGGGCCTATCTGCGGCACACCAGAACTGAGGTGGCCTGCGTTGCTTTTTACTTTAAACATTTCTACATTATCGACAATGAACGTGTTTTTTGTTACAAATTAAACTGTGCTTAAACCCCAGACCCTTTATTTTAAAATAATACAGTGTTACTAACATAACCATCTTCTCTATTCATCAGTCTGAAGTAGAAATTTCACTGTGAATGTATGTCTAAACCATCCATTTAAGCTCAGACTCCTTGGTAACAAATGAAGGGAGCATTTCTACACAGACACAGCATGGGTAAAGGCAGTGTGTGAACAGGACCACTTTCCACATCCACCGCTCTCAAAGAGCCTCACACAAGCCTCTGACGCTGCAGATGCTGGAACCAAACAGGCAAATTCAAAGATCCAAAAACAGTTTCTTGAGTAATTCCAACTTCAGGATGTGGGGACTTCAATGACAGACACAAAAGCCATCTGTCACCAACGGGCAGCACGGCCACAGCACTGGTCATCTTCCCCCGTCTAAAGCAGGCCTATGGATCCACAGGAAGATGCCTCAGTCTAACAGCAGTTACTCTCTCCAACTAAGAAATGGCCTATGCTCTTCTGTAGTGGGCTGAATAATGAATCCCAGAAACAGCACGTCCCAATTCCCAGAACACATGAATGCGGCCTTCACTGGGAAAAGGGTTTGTGCAAAAGTAATGAAATTGATGAAACCACCCTGGACTAGATTAGGGTGGGCCCTAGACAGAGGCTGCAGTGATGTGGGCAAGAATGGAGCCTCCCAGAGCTGGAAAAGAGGGCGGGGCCCTGCCCACACCTTGATTTTGAACTTCTAGCCTCCTGAAGTATGAAAGAATAAACTTCCGTTGTTTCAAGCCACCCCATTATGGCACAAAACACTTAGGCACAATACACATAAAGATATGCATATTTTTACCTTTATAGAGGGATCCTGGCAATTGATTTCTAGCCGCTGGCGTTTCAAAGCAGGTTCATCTTCATCTGTCACTACATGATTCTCCAGGACAACTGAAAAATCAATGACGGACACAGACACTTTAACATGAAAAGTTTTTTAGAGGTCTTTTAACATGAAGACAGTACACAGCACTGACAGCTTCACATTTTACTGGTGCAATGTAAAGTCTCAGGCAACTACCCAGAGCCTTCCTTAAGCCCAAAGAACACTGAAGACACCTAGGCAGGTCCATCCCAACCTGTGGTGACCCTGCCACCCAACTGTAGGCCTCCCAGCCAGTGCTCCCTGAGCACCTGTGTGAATGCTGACATGCTAAAACCATTCAATTATATTTCTTTCCAACCTTAAAATGAGGTTTTGTCAGATATCTCTAATTCCAAATCAAAAAACCGGCTCAGCCTCAACACACTGCCGTATGCAGAAGCCCCCCTCCACTGTGTGGCTGCAGCTAGGAGCAAACCACCAGTAACTGGTCATCACAGCCTCCCTGGGGCTAAGCAAGTCAACCCAAATTCCAGGCCTACTACCACACCCCAACAGCCTTCCTCACATCTAAAATCAAGTACAAACAGTACTGCAGATAACCACAGAGGCAAAGGCCAAAACCATCCACCACTGCTCCATTTCTGCAAACCCCATTTCTATCTGTCTCACACTTCCAGTCCTCTTCCAAAACCTACTCTATCTTCAGCATTCACACTGTGCAATCACAGGTGGAAGTTCACAGTCCACATTTTATTGGGCCTTATGCCAAGAGCACTCGCTCACTTCACTGCAGGTGCTGCTGGAAACCCCCAGCGCCCCTGGTGTACTCCTCCGACCTCTTTCTACAGGTTCACATGTGACACATGCTCATAGGAAAAAGGGGCAAGGACACCTAATTGCAGTTTTGTCTGCACCTCTCCTCATCTCAGCAATACAGGGACAGCGCTCCGGGTTACTGTCTTTGATGCACTCTGAATAGAAATGAGTGCCAGTATGTAAGAACACATGTCATACACGCAACACGCCACAAACACATTAAAGTACATATATGCATACACGTGAGCATATTTACTGTGGCACTTCTTTTTTTAGTTATCAATGGACCTTTATTTTATTTATTTATATGTGGTGCTGAGGACCCAACCCAGGGCCTCACACGTGCCTGGCAAGCACTCCCCCACGAGCCACAGCCCCAGCCCTTACTGTGGCACTTCTGACAGCCAAAGGCCACAAGTCTGAAGCTCACAAACGGAACCACCTGTGCGCAGCTTGCAGACCATCGCCCTCTTTGGAACACAGCCACACTGTGCAGTCAGGTGGGTGAACAGACTGGCCCTCGTTCTAGTGGCGCTGACTGACCCCAACCACCTCTCTACTACCACCAACCACCAACCCCCTCGACCACAGACACCCACTGCTATCCTGTCCAGCCCTCAGATGCCACCTTGCTTAGAAAGCCATTCCCAGAAGAGCAGGAACTCACAGCCATTCACACTGTGACCCCAACAGTCAGAGAGCCACCCCTGTAATGGACCACTCCTCCCTGCACTTTCTGCACAGGGCCGCTGCCGGGGTATGTTCAGAACACAGTGCACAGGCCTCTCGGTCCCACCGCCCCATACACATGCTGAGTACTCCTCCCAGACCTCAACAGCAGGGAGAGCACCCGTGCCTTCAGGTCTATGCACTCTAGATGACCCCCCTCAGAACTCAAGCGCCACGGGCTCCAGCAGGCCTGGGGCCAGGGCAGTGTGCAGAAGCAAGGGGTCTGGAGCCAAGGACCAGCTCTCATGGAGCCCAGAACTGGCCGCCCACTCAGCTTCTGCACACAACTCCAGCCTTGCAGAGTTCTCACTTAACAAAGCAAAAAGGAAAGCCCGTGCTGGTGAGTGCCTGGTTAGTCAGGGTTCTTCGGACCTTAGCTGAAGCCTCCTTACTCTCACTTGAAAACTGGCAGCAATGCCAGAACTGGGGGAATGGAGATAACCTGGTGATCTTTATTTAACCTTCTAAATTCCAGAAAGGTTCAGAGACTTGTCAGGGGTAACACAGCTGGTTTCTTTTTAACTAAAGAAATTAAGAATGAATGCATGCCCCTTGGTAACACGGAGTACCTCACAGCTGTAAGCAAAGGTCAGCAAAGCCAGTATGTCACAGGCAGTGTTCTAGTTGGAGAAGACAGAGGTACACATGCCAGCGTTCCCACAGGACCTTTCTACCAGGAGTGGGACTGCAAGTGGCAGTTATTTTCTCCACTGCACTTTGCTATCTTTGCACACATTGCTCTTTACAATTATGCATGCATTACCTTCAGTATTAAACAAAACGACTCCTTGTTCATTTTAAAGCCATCAGGATCAACTGGAACAACAGGCCTGATGAAATCAACAATCTTACATACTTTCAGAAAGGTAAAATACAACATGTGGTAGGTACATGCAAGATCAAAGGAACCTAGAAATCTTTGTCTTGAATATTACTGGAAAAAAAAACAAAAACTGGGAGAACATACACACCATCTAAAAGCAGCTAGGCTGCCAGGACTCTTGAGAGATTCTTACTTCTTCTTTCTTGACTGTCTTTCACACATTTTGGTCACGTTACACAGCATCAGAAAAACTAATACACATGCCCGATGCCGAATCAATCCAACTTGTATTTATATACTGTGGGGCATTCAAAAGTAATAAGAAGGTAATATGGAAAAGTCACAAAGCTCTTCAGTATGATCGTTGCTTCTCACTCCTGGGAATGTTCTAGATTGCATTTCCTAGTCTCAAGGAAGTTAGTGGTACGCGTGTGGCCAAGGCATGTGAGTTAAATCAATGCAAGCACTCTCAGGCTAGTCCCAGGTTCCCATATGAACTCATCCTTGCTCCCTCACTTCCAAAAGCTGGTTCCAATGCCCATAGCATCTCCACTGGCCACACCCAGGACAGGCCTTGGCCCACCCTGCCTGCCAACTGGGCTCATACTGAACTGCCTATGTCTTAAGCACTATGTCATTTTTTTGGTGAGGGAGAATCTTAACCATGAACCTACTCTGGATGCAGACGTGGGATGCAGGGCATTTGCAGGGTGTGTGCACGTGCTTCTGGACCAGAGGTGGCAAGCTCCATGTGCAGACAGACCGCAGGACCTCTGCACACAGGAGGAGCTTCACAAACAGGCCAGGAACCACACCGCCCATCATTTAAGGAACAAGAATGTGACACAATCAGGATGAAAGGGTCCCCAGCCTTCTCTGGGCATATTCTACAAAAACATTACCTGGGAGGCAGAACTGTCGGAACTTTAATGTTCAAAGCTGCTGAAAACAGGTGATGAACCTTTTTCTTCACAGCATTGCAGTACATATATGTGTTTTCTAAAGAAACAGTCATTCACCTGCCAGGTACGAATGGACATTTCTAAAACTGGTAGGTGTAGTGATGATGCATCTTGTAATGAGTCAAATGACTGGGGAACAGCACCCCACGGCTGCTCTCACACCCCCAGCTCTGCTCTTTGAGATCCTCCATACCACAGTGACTTCCAGAGAGTTTCTCCAACTATTTACACCTCAAACCACGCAAGTGAGACAGCATTCTTTCTCACAGACTAAAACTGCTCCGAGTTCTAACATTCCTGAAGAATGGCCAGGCAACCAAGACACTCAGTGATAGTGCTCTTGTCACTTTGAGCCCAGCCAAGCTGCAAATACACAAGTCTACAGCCTACTAAGAACTCTTGTAGCATGAGTAAGTACAGGCAAAGTTTCTTCAGAGGAGGCTCCTGTAATGCTGAGGGTCACCTCTATGCGAGGCCTCACAGTACAGTATCATAAAGAAAGTGCCTGCTTAGCAGACAAGAGGAAGGTAGTGCTCAAGCACTGTCAGCACAGTCAGTCAAGCTGTTCTGGAAAATCTGTCAGTGTGTTACCAAAGCACTAAACATATACAAGCCAGACACAGGGGCACACTCTGTGATCCCAGTGACTCGGCAGGCCGAGGCAGGAGGACTGTAAGTTCCAGGCCAGTCTGGGAGACTTAGAAAGACCCTCTCTCAGAATGAAAAATAAAAAGGGCTGGAGGTGTAGTGCCCTTGGGTTCAATACCTGGTAACAAAAAAAAGTTAAACATATTCAGCAATCCTGCTTCTGGGAACTTACCCTACAAAAACATTTGCTAAGACATAGGTGCAGGGTTCTTCCCTACATGACTGTACACAAAAGAAAAGCAGCAAGTAGCATGGAATGGCCCTCCAGAGGGCAGAGCTCAACACACCAGGGGATGTCCACACATAGAACACCACGTGGCTGATAAAAGAAGAACCAGCCTCACTCACTCTCACCAACACACAGCTTCCACAGTCGCTCAAACCATCAGCCTCTACACAGGGCAAGTTGGAGATAGAAAGGTGTGGAACACAAGAGCCACAGGCTCACATGGTGGACCCACATGCCTATCAGAGAATGCACGCAGGTGGCAGGATGTGCAGAGAGGGCAGGTGCTGGGCAGTTGCACATCTGGGAAGGGACTTGGGGGCCAGAGTGGTCAAGTAAGTCAAGGAGGGCTGACTGTTCACCCACCATGACTTGAATTCTTTTTTTAATTTTTTTTTTTTTTTAGTTGTAGTTGGACACAATATCTTTATTTTACTTATTTATTTTTATGTGGTGCTGAGGATTGAACCCAGTGCCTCACACGTGCTAGGTGAGCGCTCTACCGCTGAGCCTCAGCCCCAGCCCCAGCCCCCATGACTTGAATTCTCATATGCAGCATGCGTCACTGTTGCCTCTACTTAATTTAAAAGAAAGAAAACTACTGGAATAAAGAAAATAATATTTCACCTACTGTCCCACAGCTCTGTACCTGGATGATCAGGACTCAGGTCTTCCACTGCGATTTGAACCACATCCGCTAGGTCCTGTTCTGACATCATCCAGAAGGAGCAGAGAGGGGCCGGCCCGCAAGCAGGGGTCCAGCTCACAGGGCGCTGGGTGTCTGTCACCTACAAAACAAAACCAAGAAAGCAGAGAGGAACATTAACGAGCATGACATGTAAGCCAACAAACTCCCACCACATGTGCTGGGGAGCTCCGTACTATGGGTCTGAACTACAGGATGCCTCGTGCCCGGACCACGCAGGGCCCACTCTGAGATATAGACCCAGCTTGGCAGCATCACGTGGGCTCTTCTCAAGGGCAGGCCCAACCCCACTGAACAGCCTCGCTTTCCCACTCCACTCTGTGGTCACCTTCAAAGCCAGCTTCCTAGTGTGGGTTTGGGGAACCTCACCCCACCTGCCTCCTGCAACCTCCTGCCCTTACCTGTTCCCCACAGGCCTCAGCCTGCTCTGACTGCCACACCCTAGAAAGACAGTGTCCTAGCTGCACAGCACCACTGGTCTCCAATGTGACCGCTGGTCCCATGTCCAGAATGCCTCCATGCCTGCTCCCACACCACATGGCACTGGGATTAGGCCTCAAGAGACTTTGTTTTCCAAAAACAGAAATGAGGCCACATTATCCCAAGTACAGTCTATCAACCCAAATCTAAATAAGTAATTTCAGAAAGACTAGATTAGAAGGAACCCGAGCAAATAACACAATAGAATACAAATACAAAAAGGAGAGAAATGAATAAAATTTTAAGAATGTAAAGAAGAGAAATAGATGAAAAGGTTTTAAGAAAAGGTAGCACAGAAGAGAGTTAAAAAAAAAGACCCAACATGCATTTAAGAGGAGACTCTACAGGCGAAAACCAAAGCCATCAAATGAAATACTAAAAATGAAATACAAGAAAACTCTCCTGGGCCAGGGGCAGCTCAGTGATAGAAAAATATAAGGCCCCATCAACTCCCAGAAACAGCAACAGAAAAAAAGAAAACTCTCCCAAAAGCCGTTGGGGGGGGGGGGGTAAATCACTAAGGTGGGGGATACATTCTAATAAAAATGTAAAAATGCTACTCAAAAATTTCTTTACACATCCAGGCAAAAGACTAAATGACTTAGTAATGGTAAGAAAATTAGATGCTTACATCAGAACAGAAGAGAATGAACTAACATATTTACAATACTAAAGGAAAGGAAATGAGCTAAGAATTCTACACCAGACAAGATCACTCTCAAGCATAAAGGAACAAGCTGTGACCAACATGCTGCACTCAGTAGGTAGCATCCCATGAGCACTTCCTGAAGAACATGCTTAAAAACAACTTCAGGACTCAACCCCTGGAAGAGCCGCACAGGAGGTCAGTGGTGAGCTCTGAACCCACACGCAGGGTAGGCCCAGACAAATCCCACAAAGGAGACAGCACAGCGTGGATGACACCCGCTCCCAACACGGCAGAGCGGAACACCTAAATGGGAGAAAAATGGGAAGCCCATACCCAACTGTAACAATTTCAGCAATCATATTGAGCAGTAGTGTTTACACTCCCTTCTGGGAATGCTCTGTGTACAAATGAGTGCTATTATCATTCCTAATGTCCTTAAGAGCCTGGAGAAGCAGGTACAGCAATCCGAGTCAAGGAAACGCCTGGGGGCTAAGAACTGAAATCCAAGTACAAACTTCCATGCACAGTTCATATACACTCCACCTCTGTCTACTACAGAAGTATGGAAACAGCAATCAACGGGTGACCACCTGCACCCTTGGAGCCCAGGTTATGGTGCCAAAAGCCGTCTCTCCCCTAAGGAGACCATGGAGACATGGAGACATGTCTGACTCCAAGTCTGAGGCCAGTAATACACAAGCTGAGCCTAGAACACCTGCAATGTCAGATCTAAAGAAAGACCACAGAGTTGTGTCAAAAAGACTCAGGGGCCAACGAGAAGAAGCCAGTCCTCCTCAAAGGGGAAACAAACTGACCATCAATAAGGATGATAGTTGCAATGGGGTTAAATAGAAATATTTTTAAATTCATTAATTTGGAGGGTACTGGGGAACTAAGCATAATTTTTTTTAAAATAGTAATAATATATCAAGCGTTTATCCTGTTTTCCTATACAAACTGTGTCACTCCTCTGAACAGAATCATCACAGCAGAGAAATGAAGAAGAAACGGTCATAATTTTGCAATTCCTAATAATCTAGGACTCTGGACCCTGGAAAGGCACGGTTGCTGATATCAGGAAGACCCACGGCGTTTGCCTCATTAGTGAGGATACACCCTGCCCAGGGGGAAGCGCACCACACAGAACACTGGCGCTCAGTGACCCCCTGCAGCTTTTTTTTTTTTTAACATTTTGTTTTTTATTTTTTTAGTTGTAGATGGACACAATATCTTCATTTATTTATTTATTTTTATGTGGTGCTAAGGATCGAACCTAGGGCCTCACACCTGCAAGGCAAGCGCTGTATCACTGAGCCCAGCACCTTCTGCAGTACTAAAGAGACTGCTCCAAGTTACAGCGGTTTCACTCACTGTTTTCAACTTTCTGATGGTTGTGACACACACTCAGTAGGAACCACACTCAAATACTGGTCTTTCCTGACCCTCTGCTGATGATGGGCAGCCAAGGTGTACACCCTGAAGGTTCCCACTGCTCTTGGTGTGCTATGCTGCTAGCCAGGGTGCTCGGCAGGATGGAGCACTGATGCATTTTCAACAAAGGACCTTTTTTTTTTGGTGGGAGTACCGGGATTGAACTCCAGGCACTCGGCCACTGAGCCTCATCCCCAACCCTATTTGTATTTTATTTAGAGACAGAGTCTCACTGACTTATTAGTGCCTCACTTTTGCTCACTTTGAACTCACGATCCTCCTGCCTCAGTCTCCTGAGCTACTGGGACTACAGGTGTGTGTCATCGCACTCAGCTCAACAAAGTACTTTACACTTAGGGTTGGCGTACTAGAAGTGACCCATGGCAAGTGACCCATGGAACAGCCATGCTACCCCTCACAGGAAATGGAGAGGTCCGGAGAACTTGCTGAACAACACCGCAGAGATTCAGACAGCAAAGCAAACCCAGACTGGGGGCATGCCACAAATAACCCATTAAACCACAGCTGAGCGGTACTGGGGTGGGGAGTACCAGGGATGCACTGGTCAGCTTTTCACTGCTGTGACAAACACCTAAAAGCAACTCAGGGGAGGACAGGTCTATTCTGGCTCTCCATTTCAGAGGTCCAGCCCACGGTCGGCTGGCTGCGTTGCTCTGGGCCTGAGGGAGGCAGAACATCATGGTGGAAGGGTGGAAGGGAGGCAGGTGCCCTGCCCACAGTGGCCAGGAAGCAGAGAACGAGAAGCAAATGCACTCTTCCAGGACACAGCCTCAGTGACCTACTTCCTCCAACAAGATCCCAAGCCCCTACAGTCTCCACCACCTCCCATCAAAGCCATCAATTATTAATCCATCAAAGGATTGAACCATTGATAAGATAAGGGCCCTCATGATCCAATCACTTTCCAAGAGGCCAACCTGAACACGTCAGCACTGAGGACCAAGCCTTTCACACGTGAGCCTTTGGGGGACGTTCTAGATCCCACCATAATAAGAGGCGTGCAGAAATTAAAGGAGACTTCAAACATTAAACAAAAACAGACAAAACTACAGGACTGAAGAGTAGAAACCTGGGTAGTGGAGCTCTAAAGACAGGTGCTGTCCCACAGAAGCAAGGGCGTGCCAAGAGCAAGGGTGGCCGGCCACACGCTCCTGGCCTGGGTAGTAATGGGGGCATGAGCGGCCTAGGAGGTGTCCTAGTCCACCTTCCCTCTTCTGATTTCTATGTCTACATCACACTCAATAAAAAGGACATTTTAAAAGGGAAAATTCAAACAAACTAGGAAAAAATATTTGTTGCACACAGGCCAAAGAGCTAATTTCCTTCCTTCATGGCAATAGAAAAAAGGTCACAAGCCTACTCAGAGTGCACAGGACATCATCAAGTGGCATCCTCAGCCTTCTGTGTGCCTAGTAACGCACAACACAAATGAAACATCATCTCTCCACAGGTGTGACAAAGGCCACCCAGGAGATACCATGGTAGTCTCCAAACTGCAGTGCCCAAGGCCAGCGCTGGGACTGTCTTCGGCCATCTACCCGGTAACCAGCTCCACCCTGCTTGACCCAGGTGAGCCTCTAGGCCTAGTGTGTGATGGTGCTAACCCATGTCAGGACTTGAGGGAAGGTTGCCAGGCAGTCACATTGAGCATCCATACCTCACATGCCATAAATCCTGTCTTCTCTTCCAACCTAAGCAGCAAAGCCAAGACTAGCTAAGGGATAAACCACACTTCTTAATGAAGGCAGCAGTCCTCAGTCAGATAATGCCACCCCACCAAATTCTGTATTGGTGGATTTAAGACATTTTAGGGTCACAGGCTGCTTTCAAAATATTTTTTTTAATGTTTTAAAAGACGATATAAACTCTTTTCTGAGAAAAAGCACAAAAGACAGGCAAAGTTTTACTAAGTTCTAGAGGCTACACAAATACCACAACTGCAGGCTGCCTATCCCAGTACCCCTACCCCTTGCTCCCCAATGAAGACCCCTAAGCAGGGCAGAAGGCCACCAGACAGATGCGCCTCTAGCCTCCCCTACAGCAAGCTGTGGTCATGGGACACAGAGACAGAAACCTCTGGAAACCACCTCAAAAGAGAACTGGCATGTGGTCTGGGCACTTCTCCATACCCTATTCAGCTGGTTTCCAGGCCTGGGATGAGGACAGGACAAAAGAGCTGAAGGGTGGGGGAGCCGCAAGGGGGAGCCGCAAGGAGGAGCTCGGACCCTCGGACCCTCGCTTTCACGGGACTGCCCACTGTCCTAGGCTCTCTGCCCCAGGACATCCTCATAAGAAATTAGAATAACCAACCTGTGATTTTAAACCAGGCATGGTAGTACACACCTATAATCCCAGTTATTCTGGAGGCTAAGGCAAGAGGATATACATTCAAGGTTATTCTAGGCAACTTAGCCAAACACTATCTCAAAATAAAACTTCTTTTTAAAAAAGAGTTTGGGATATATCTCAGTGGTGGAGCACTTACCTAGCATGTGCAAAGA